ATCCATCTCACCAAAGGTCTTCCTCTCCTTCGCCTCCCCTCCACTCTGCCAAACATGATGTCCCTCTCCAAGGACCAGTCCCTCCTTGCAACATGCCCGAAATATGTCAGAAGAAGCTTCAGAATCCTTGACTCCAGGGAACATTCTGGCTTCACCCTCTCCAGGACAACCTGTTTGTTCTCCTAGCAGTACATGGTATATTCAACACTCTTCTCCAGCACCACAACTCAAAGGTATCAATTCTCCTTCTATCATCCCTATTCACTGTCCAACTCTCCGATGCATAGCAAGTAATTGCAAAGACTATAGCCTGGATCAGGAGCACCTTAGTCTCCAGCCTGATGTCATTGCTCTTCACTACTCTTGAGAGGTCCCTCATAGCTGACTTTCCCAATGCAATTCGTCTCCTGGTTTCCTGGCTGCTGTTACCAAGAGTGTTGACTGTATGACCTAGCGATTACACTTCTGGGCACTTTCTAAGAAAAATGCATACTTATGTTCATCCCAAATCCTGTATATAAATGCTTTTAGTTTCTTCCTTCTTACAAGCCAAAAATTTAGAATCAACCAAATCTGCTGTCAGAAACCTCACCAGAGAGCTGAGGAGCATAAATGTTAGTCTAGAAACTAAGGTGTGCCTAATTCAAGCAATGGTTTCCTCGATTACTTGCTATGCTGCAGAGAGCTTGACAATGACTAAGAATAACAGAAGAAGAATTGATGCCTTTGAGATGTGGTAACTGGAGAAGAGTATTGAACATGGACTTTCCAGAGAACTAACAGATCTGACCTGGAGATGATGGAACCAAGCTGCTCCTTGAAGGCGAAGATTTTGAGACTCCCATATCATATACTTTGGGCCTGTATCCAGGAGGTGCCAGTCTTTGGAGAAGGATATCATGCTTGGGAGGGTTGAGAGACAGTGGAAGACAGAAAGAAAGACTCTGAATGAGATGGATTGACACAATAACTGGAGTGATGAGGCTAGGTAGGTATGTCAGAGACAGTGAGATTGACTTGGGAAAGAGCTATTGTGTATAGGGTCACTTTGAATCATAGTTGACTTGATGACACATAACAACAAGGTGTCTTTCAATGGATAAGTCACTAAATCATGGTCAATCTATACCATGGACGAAGTTATAAAAGAAACAAAATATTAACACATATACAAAATTTGAATGAATCCAGAAAATTATTCTTCAGGGGAAAAGCCAATCCAAAGAGATTTCATGGGAAAATCTACCATCAAGGATCTTGTCAAAATACTAAAGTGTAATGAAGTTGGTTTAAAGACTGAAATGCAACGGATCCAAGCCATACTATTTCAGTTGCTTCTTATGCATCTGAAAGAAGGAAAGAAAACTAAAGAAGAATGGCTGTCTCTGAATTGTGGTTTTGGAAAAAAAAGTACTGAATATCCATCCCATGAAGTACCCAAACAACAAGCTCATTTTAGAGGAAGAACAATCAGGATGCTTTTTAAAGATAAGGATGATAAAACTTCACCTTTGAACATGATGTCAGGTAGACCTTTGAACCAGTCCAGGAAGACCAGGAAAAAGATCTCATGGTGAGAAAGGTGGAAGATCAGAGGAATAAAGAAAGATTTTTAACAAGATTAGTTGACATTGTGACTATAACAATGAGCTCTAGCACATCAGAAATAGTGAGGATGGTGCAAGATAGAGTAAGATTCAAATTGTTCTAGGGACTGCTGCAGGATCATTGAGTCTAGGGGGCACTTGGCTAGTGTTTGCTTTAAGTGAGTGATTCTTTGACAGGGGAGAAAAATTTGAAGACCATTTCCTACCTAAGTGGCCTTGAATAAGTTACTTAATTTCTCTGAATGTCTATTTCTTCATTAGAAAGACTAGAATATTGGTAGTGATCATCATGGAAATGAAATGAAATTATATACTTAAACCCTTAATATTGTTGTTGTTGTTATGTGTTGTTGACTCACCTGACTCATTGCACCCCTATATACAATAGCTCTGAAGCCTGCCCTGTCCTGAGCCAGTTTCTCTCACTCTGGTATGCCTACCCCGATTGCTCCAGGTACTGTATCAATCCATCTTATCCAAGGTCTTCCTCTCCTGTGCTATCCCTCCTCCCTTCTAAGCCTGATGTCCTTCTCCAAGGATCAGTTCCTCCTGGTCATGTGCCCAAAGATTGTGAGATGGAGCTTCAAAATCCTAGCCTCCAAAAAGAAATTTGGTTTCACCTTCTCCAAGACAGACCTATTTGTTTTCTTCACAGTCCATGGTATGTTAATGACTCTTCTCCAGCACCATCTCTGAGTGAAAAAGAAAAGAAAAAGTTAAATGTTTCTTGCTATACTCAGTCTTCAATAGCTGTCAAAGTTAGATTTTAAAGACTGACAATATGTAAAAATATAGGATGACCACATCAGATCACAAACTGGAAGATGACTACATCATTATATAACTGCCTAATTAAATTATTTTCCAAACAGAAGTTCAGCCTCATGTGCCAACATTTGATGTTCTTGTTGTTAGATGTTGTCGAGTTAAGTACAACTCATAACGACAGATAACTCATAATAAAAGATCTGAACTCTGTTGTATCCTATGCCATCTTCAAACTTCCTGACATACAAGAGCTCATTGCAGCAGTCACCATAATAATCCACGTAGCTGAGGGTCTTCCTCTCTTTCACCTGTCCTCCACCCTTCCTAATGTCATGTCCTTCTCCAAGGAACAGCCTCAATTACTTGCTATGCATCTGAGAGCTAGACAATGAATAATGATAACAGAAAAAGAATTGATGCCTTTGAGCTGTGGTGCTGGAGAAGAGCACTGAACATCCCATGAACTGCCAAGAGAACAAACAGGTATGTCTTGGAGAGAGTGCAGGCGAGGTGCTCTTTGGAGGCAAGAAGGATGAGACTTCACCTCACATACTTTGGGCCTGTTGCTAGAAGAGCTTATTTGATGACAGTTCTAAAAGAAAATCTACTTCTTTAACTTATCAATATTTTCAGTTTAAAATAATAAAGGCTTGAAAATGCATGGTGGTGTTTGTTGTTTTTGTTTTGTCATTTTTCTAAACCACACTTTCAGAACTCTAACAGCAAGCAAGAAAAAAGGAGAAGAGGAAGCGAAGAAGTAATGCTTATTATGCAGGCGTTCTCACTGGGGAGAGAAGAGAGTCTTTTAAGGATAACTTCTAAATAAAGAAATATTTAAAAAAATAAAAAAGGAGCTCTGGTGTTTTAGTGGCAAGAAGCTGCACTGCAATTCTGAAAATTGTGTAAATCTTTGAGTCCACGGGAGAAAAATGGGCTTAACTGCCTCTGAAAATGCATCGAAGGCTCAGCTATACATTGGTTCTGACTTTGACAAAAAAACAAAAGTAATACTAAAAAAAAATAGCTTTCTGTGTTGCCTGCAGTTGTGCTAGATAGTTACAGTACCTCCTGTAATCTCCTTATTAAATTACTAGAGACTAATTTGTTTGATCCAGTTCTAGATTAACAAACTGAGGCTCAGAGGAATTAAATACTTTGCCTGAAATCCCATAGATAAGAAGTGGCAAGATTGAGATTGGGCCCAAATTTCCCACTGCTAGCACTGGTGGCCTAGTGGCAAGAAGTTGCTTTGAAATCCCAAAGGCACGCAGTTCTTATCTACCAGCTTCTCCACAGGAAAAGATGAGAGATCTCTTCCCGTGTGATTAACTGTTTATGAAAACCCACCAGAAAGTCAGCTATGGATCAGTTCTGACTCAATGGTACACAATAACAAGCACTTGTATAAAGATCCCTTGTTCAAGTAGAATAGTGCATAACTAAATTGATCTGCTAAGCAGAAAGTTATCAGTTTGAATCCATTAACTTCTCCTCTGGATAGAAACAGGCAGTTTTCTTCCATAAAGATTGACAACCTGGAAACCTGAGAGAGGGATATCATGGATCAAAATCAAATAGATAGAACTGGAGTTAGTAAATGTTCCTAATTAAGCTTGTCATTTAAAATTTACAAAGCCACCTGAAAAATCAACATGTATTTAAGTTGATAGTCTGCTCTTTCAAAGGAAAAGAAAGAAAGAAAGCCCAAGTCTAAGAAAATGGTAGTGGACAAAGACTACTTTTAACAAGATCTTGTTGTTTTTGTTGTTGTTAAGTGTCGCCCAGTCGTAGAGATACAGAGCTCATTTTGTTGAAGTGAGAATTTGGGCTTTTGACGACAATGTGCTTTTCCCTACACTTTTAAGGTTGACTTCTGACTGTTGCTACTAAAATTTAGGGATTTCTCTTAAGCATGAGGCAGATATTTATCTACCAAAGCAGAAAACTACCAATTTTGCACATGTGTTTGTTGACTAAATTACACCCTGAAAATCCCCACAGACATTAAGCATCTTGATCAGTAACCCTGGAATTTCCCAAACCATTCAGATAAAACCTCATGGAGATCAATATTCTGATGGCTAAGTAAACGGATTAACACACTCTTCATAGCTGCTCTAATCCTGGGTGTTGTTAAAAAATTTTTTTTTTTAAAAATTGGATAGATTATCTGCCTTGGAATAATTTTTTTTCTGTATTTATTTTAGCAACTTATGATGTTAGAATTGAAGAACTCCAAAAGGTATTGTGTTTGGACTTTTTTACTGATTTTAAAACTAAAGTAAAACAAGTGCACAAAATTAATGCCAAAGCAGTTTCTTTTATGAGGGAGGAAAGATCTTCTTTTACTTTTCCTTTCTATTTCTGAGGTTTTTCAGATGCAGGATGCTAAGATTCTGGGTGCCACAGTGTGGGAGGCAGAAAATGTGTGATAGGGTGGGAGGACTTGGTCCTGGGCTGTTCATAGCCCCTTATCTATAACAGCCAGTGTCTACCAGTCTTAAGAATTGGGCTTTTCAGAGAGAAAAGTTCCTGGGCACAATCTAAATTTGTATCTACCATGCTCTCAATAAAATGATCAGACCTTTAAATGTGAATTTCTAGGCTCCTATTCCCTCCTGGTCTCTTTCAAGGATTTAGAGAAAGATATCATGCTGGGAAAGGTGGAGGGTGAGTAAAAGAGAGGCAGACTCTCAGCAGCATGGATTGACACAGAGCCTCTAACAATGGGCTTGAGCATGTTAGAGATTATGAGGGCGGCTCAGGATAGAGCAGGTTTTGATCTCTTGTTTATAAGGTCGCTATAAGTTGTCTTCAACTTGACAGCACATATGACTGCTTCCTGTGTGTTATGCTATGTAACAATTTCATTACGGGCCCAAATCTCAGCTTTTTCTCTTTCCTGGCTGTGTGAACTTGAAATTCCATTTCTTCATCCATAAAATGAGAGTAATAGATGCACACACATCCGAAGTGAAGATAAATAAGGTAAATGGGTTTGGAGTGCAGAGAACAGTTTATGGTCTAAGATTATTTTCTAAACTAAATCATCGCTTCCCCTTGGCCTCCTGTGTTCTTTGCTGACTAATCTTCAGCTTCACTGGCAAGAGCTCTAAGAACTTTCTGCTGTCAAGGTCCACCTTCACTCTGCAGGAGACCTTCTCCTCACCTATTTATTGCTTGATCTCTAGGGTCTGTAACTAGACAATAGTGGTGATAATTTATGAAAATGACTGTTTTCCTCTTTACTTTCAGCTGGACGAGAGTTTTCTCCATCAAGAAGGCAGGTGAGTTTGATGTTCAAGATGAAAAACCATAGTCCAACCACTGACCCTCTGACGGCTGAACTAGCTCCCAGCCGCAAAGGTTTCCAATGCTGGACCGGGTTAGGCCTCCCCAAGCCCTACAAAACGGTAGATGCCGAAGGGTGCGTGTGACTCTGACTTTACCTTGTTCTCTGCACCTCATGCTAATCTACACTCCACTCACTTAGCAAACACTTTTTTGACGTTGTTTTATTTTACCATTTTATTGTGCTTTGTGGGAAAGCATACATAGAAAATTCATTTTCTATTCAATAGTTCTTGGAAGGAGGAGTGGCATCCACTTCCATAATAGCTTGCCTCCAGAAATGCTATGAACCTGGAGAGAGGATGAAAGGCACCCAAGCGTCGAGGACTCTCCTTCATAGGGTCGCTATGAGTCGCCTGCTACTTGATGGCACTTAACAACAACAACAACAACAATCAATAGTTCATACGCAGATCGTTCGTGATGACTCAGTGTTCTTCTTACACCTCAGGTTCCCTGTTTCCATTTGTCTGGTTTCACTGATGAGTCATCTTTGGGTTTTATGTGTATAGTCTGCATGTATGTTTCTCTTTTTAAAATTTTATTATTAATTACAAAGACAATTTATAGAGACTTTGAATTTCCATTCATTCATTGTTGCACTTTTCTCCCTGCCCACACCTCCCTGCCCCAATTCACTTTTCTTTTTGAAAAGTAAAAGAAAAAAATATTTCATTGTTATTCAATCCCTCCCCCCAAGTCCACTCCGCTATGCTACTTTAGTTCTGAACTACCAACTTTTTTTCTTTTTAGGGTTTTTTTTAAAAAATTGTTTATTTTATTCTTTTTTGTGGACTACCAACTTTTGCAATCAGAAACTGATCAAATATACAACCAAGATGCATTAATAATAATTGGTGACTGGAATACAAAAGTTGGAAACCAGGAAGAAGGATCAGTCGTCTGAAAACACAGCCTTGGTAACAGAAATGAGGCTGGAGCTAGAATGATAGAATTCTGCCCCCAAAGTGGGAGGTCATAGAGCCTTACCTCACAAGCACGCTGCCTCTCTTCCATATTTCCTTTCATGGGGGGAGGTCTGTCCCTTTGGGGGCATAACTTTCTAGTAAAGCTGTCTCTCCTAATGTACCTTCAGTTTTGCCTCCTCTTCTTTTTTTTCTCATCTCTCTGCTCTGTTAAAAAGCTTCAGCCCACACTTTCACGCTCCACCACAAAAGTCTGTTCTCCCATGAAACACTAAATTGCTGCATCATGTACTACCATGGTACTTTGAATCGCCCCCTCCTCCAGTCTCTTCCGCCTGGCACAATTCTTTTGCCTGTGTGAGAAGGGCAACCCAGGGCACTGACCAAATAATACCAATGTCATTCATTCATTCATTTATTAATTCACTCATTCATTTCATTAGGGAATCTTAGGAAAGAATTGCTCTGTGTCAGGCACTGTGCGGTAGCTATCATAGACTTACACAGCATTTGTGCTAGAGATACATAGACTAAAGAGGCAGTTTCGTTACTTTATAGTTCATTTTATGTAGTTGAGGTGATAAAGAGAGGGAACTGGGAAAACTTCACAGAGAGACATAGCATAACATGTTGTTATTGTATGTGCCATTGAGTCGCTTGTAACTCATAGTGACCCTATGTACAAGGGCCCTAAACCCTGCTCTATCCTGTGCCAACCTCACTGTCTCCGACATACCTACACCCATTACCCCAGTCACTGAATCGATCCATCTCATCGAGGGTCACAGCATTATGGGGCCAGAGATGAAGGTAACGACTGTTTAGGAGAATGACACTTAGAAATGAGATGATTTAGAAAATCATTAGGAGTGTTGTATTTGCAGCAATATAAGGTGTGTAGGGTATGTTTGATCAAAGAAATAGCAAATGAAAAGAAAGGTTTTTAAAATAGGGTGGTAGATTGGGGAAAAAGAGAGGAAGTCCCTCAACAAGACGGATTGACATAGTGACCCCAACAATGAGATCAAATGAGATGATGAAGATGGCACAGAACTGGACAGGACTCAGATATATTGTTCATAGAATCACTGTGTGTCTTACTTGACTCGACGGCACCTAACAAGAAGAAGAAAAAGTGTTCCGTTTTTAATATAATATAACATGGGCTGTCAAAAGAAAGCTACATCAGTCTTAGAAGAAATACCACTCGTTCAGTCTCTTACTTTGGACACATTGGAAAAATCTATATCTAGAAAAGTATTTGATGTTTAATAAAGTAAGAGATCAATGAAAATAGAAGTCTGCAATGAGATGAACTGATGCCATAGCCCCAACAATAGAGTAAAACATACCAGCCATCATGATGACGGAGCAAGACCAGGCAATCTCCTTCTGTCATACATGAGGTTGTCATGAGTTGGGGTGACTCAGTGGCAATTGATACAATAGCAGAGAAGTGCGGAAGTGACATAAAGGAGCAGAGGGAACCGGGAATGGAAAAGAAAACAGGAGCCATTTCAGGGTGGAACTCATATTTGATCCTACAGATAACAGAGTTATTAGAAGGTTGTAAGCTGAAATTGGTATTCTGGCACTGATTGGAATAGCAGAAACTCAGGAAAATGATCCACATGGTTAGTTTGGTCTTGACCCCCTCATCTTAGAACAAATAAACAAGATTGACATCTGCTGGATTCATTTCCATTAATTTTATTTAGAATTGAGTGGTGGACTATCATTTAATTATACTAATATTCTCTTTGTCTCTGTTATTTCTTTACATTTCAGTCCTAAGCATGAAGTTGAAGATCAGGATATGAAGAAAAAGGACTCATGCAAATTGGAATCTCGGAAAACAGAAAAGGACCTCGTTGTAAGCAATCGTCCCAAGGTATCTGTGTTAGTGAATTCCTTGTCTAACAGTAGGCTCACATGTGTAATCCCATCAGTTTACAGGGGGTCGTTTAGAAGCTGACACATGCCGATCTCCAGACCTTAAAAAGATAAGATGAGTGTGGACATTTTAGAAAGAAAACAAATGTAACAATAGCACAAGATTTTAGCCTCAAGTTTTTTACTGATTAACCTAGGTCTTAGCATCAGGTTGGGGACTAGAATGAGATAAGCAAGGTGCCTAGGGACCAATACCTCACTCTCAGGAGTTAGTTCTGTACTTGCATGACCCTACGATGAATATTTCCTTACGTTTTATGCCCTAGGTCTTGATTCAAAAAGTAATTATAATGGATTTAAGATTTTTGGAATTATGGAAACTAGATGAATCCCTGAAATTATTGTCCTGAGATTCTTCAACCCAGAAATGTCCTTGGAAGTATGTATGTTAATGGACAACTGATCAAACTTGGATACAGTTTGTTGCTTTTCTGTTCCATTGAGTCAGAATCAACTCATAGCTGGCTCTCTAGTTGGTTTTCAGAGGCAGTAAATCATGTGAAGGGAGATTGTCATGGAGCAGCTGCTGGATTCAAACCAGGTGCATTGGATTGGCAGCCCAACTCCTTACCACTCAGCCACCAGAGTTGTTTCCAGGGCAAAGCTACTCGGGAAAAGGAGCAGAACCAGGAACTCAGGCAGCTTGAAGACAAGGCCTGAATGGAGAAGGGCCAGGGATGGACAATTCAGAAAAGGCCAGTGAGCATAATTACACTTGGTCAAAGATAAAATCAGGGCTACTTTTGTATCATTGTATGAACTGTTGAATTGCTGTATGTATCTTATGCTCTGAACATTCTCCTGTTATTGTTATTGTTATTGTTTTTGTTGTTGTTGCTGTTGTTAGATGCCATCAAGTTGAGTATGACTCATAGCAACCCTATGAACTAAAGGTCTAAACCCTGCTCTATCCTGTGCCATCCTCACACTTCCTAGCACACAAGAGCCTATAGCAGCAGTCACCGTGTCTATCCACCTGGTAGAAGACCTTCCTCTATTTCATATAAGTACATAAAAAAAACACCCCAAAACCCCCTATTAGTGAAAACAAAGTCAGTGATCATGGCCAGAGAAATAGAACTTCTAGGAAAGATTGGCAAAGGCCTAGATGGGTGCTAGGGCAGACATCAGGAGGGATTTTACAGGTGCATGCTTAAGGACATGAAAATGCAGGTGCACAGTTACTATTTTTCAGTGCTAACTGTATAGCATGTGCCAGGGATGAGGTCAGGTTACCACTAAAGGGTGATATTTTTATTTATATGAGGTAAGTTTGAGTTTTGGAAGTTTCAAGAGGAATTTGGGATATATTAGATAAAGGAATGGATGGTTTATTTGGGCAGTGCTCTTAAAGGTCAAATCTAAATGACAAGTCAGTAGGTACGTGATGCATTGTGATTCAGACAATTCTAAAGACCATTCCCAAGGAAAATCCCAAGTGATTCAGTGCAGTAGCCCAGTGAGGGACTACATGAGATATGATGGTCTCTTATCTGTACTGAATATTCATGTCAGTACTCTTGGTCATTCCCTCCCACCCTAAAGATTCATTCCTGAATGTGCACCTTAAAAAGGGTCACTTCCTTTTGTTCTCAGTCAGTTCTAGATACGCCATGAACTCAGAATAGTCTGTACCTCCTGTCTGTTAATTACTTCAACTCCATCTGATCTATTTCCAGTGCATTACTACACAGTAGTAAGGATAGTGACCTCCCTCTCATTTTCTTTTTTAAAATTAGAAAACATTTGGATGGCTAGAAATCTCGCCAGTGCCTCGTTTTTGTCAGCTGACCAGGTCTTTCTGATAGGCAAACCCAATCAGGTTTCCTTTTTCCTACTTGCCTCTCTGTGATTCTGACATGAAGTCCACATTTTGCCTTTGACTCAAAACCTCTCATAACCTAGTTCCATTCTCTGCAGTCTTTTAAGACTCATTTCTGGCCTCCTATGACCTGCTCTTTCTACTTTCCCCTCCACACCATCATGATGAGGGCATCAAAGCTTCTTCAGACACCATGTCTTTGCTTGTGATGTTTTATCTACCAACTATTCATATATCCCCTCCATCAATTTCCTGGTTCCTGAAATAATTTCTCAAAACATGGTTTTTTAAGTCTTCCTCAACCTTGTATCCCATCCAACAGAGCCCACTTCCTCTTCCTCTGTTTTAAACACAGCAATCCTGTTGTAGATAACATTCCCCTTATTACATTTGTTTGCTTGTCACTAGTGTCCCCTAAACAGAATGTGAGCCACCATGGCCATTACGTCATTCTACTTCCAGAGCACAGCATGTTGTCTCATCTTTAATAAGCATTTGTCAGACAGTAGCAGGAGAGCTTTGGAAAGAAGCAAGAAGAAAGAACAGATTGGTTCGTGGAAAAACGAAAGGGCAGCCAGAGAAAAGGAAAGGAAGAAGACCACGACACCTTTTAATGGTCAATAGCCCAGGGCTCTGGGGTTAAAGCTTGTCTTAGTTGGTTAGCTGTGAGAGAAGGGATAGATTACTTAACTTCACTAAACCTTTCACCAGGGAGCTCTGGTGGCCTAGTGGTAAGGAATTGTGCTGTCAACACAAAGGCACATAGTTCGAATCTAACAGTCACTCTGAGGGAGAAAGATGGGCAATCTCTTTACGTACCATTTACTACCTCTGAAAACCTGCTGAAGGGTCAGATATGCGTCAGTTACAACTTGACAGTATTTGTTAGTCTGAATATCTTTAGTTTTTTGTTTATTTTTTAAATGCTTTATCAATTAAAGCAATGATACAAGCTAAATGAGACAACATTTGCAAAGAGCTTACTCTGTAGTCAATTCTTCACTATGCCCTGCCTCCCAGTGCCTCCCAGTGGCCAGCCTTTGTACCAGACACTCTCTGGCCATTTTCAAATGAATCAAGCAGAGATGGTAAGTACCCTTGTGAAATGCAGAATCTAAAGAGACAAGACAGCATTAAATAAATAATAAATCACTGCTGTACATGAATAATGAATGAGTAAAGACCCCCCCCCCCAAGGACTGAATGGACTTTCCCTTTTGATGTGTTTAGATAGGTACCTGTGAAAAGACACTTGGAACACTAGAGATGACAGAAGTCCACAGAAGGAAGGAGAGCATGCCAGCCTGGAAGTGGTACCCTGTGGTTGATACTACCCAAACGAAGGCCTGCTCCAATGACTCAAAGCAGGATAGCAACTCCCAAAGCTACGGTAAGTTTTATTGCCCTGACCTCCCCACCACATTCCAGTTTTTTTCCCATTACTTACTTGTTTCAAGTTGAACATAACTAGATTTCCCTTATTTTCTAATATTTATCCATTAACTATAATTATGTATCAAGTAACTGAACCCATTGAGATAGCTGTACAGTAATGGAAAGAACATTAGATTTATAAGCAGATGGTCTGAGTTCACATCCAGGCCCTACGATGTATTAGCTACAGAATAACTTAACTGAACTGCAGTTCAGTGTCTCCATTTATAAAAATCATTATCTGGACCTCACTAGGGTTTTATGGGTGCTAAATCTGACAGCATGTCCCATTAGAGGGATTCTGCAAATGTCAGGAGTCTGAACCCACCATCACCTCACAGGAGAAAGAGGTGGCAGCCTGTCTACCCCATAAAGGTTTCCATCCTTAACAACTCTGCACAGTTCTGTTCTGTAGGGTCACCATGAGCCAGAATTGACTCAGTGGCAGTGGGTGTGGGTTGGGGGTTTTGTTTGTTTGTTTGTTTGAAGAAAAAAAAATTCCTATTTGTTGAAGCTTCCCATCCGTGATTTCTGTTACAGCAGCACTAAGAAACGATGACAAGATGTTTACTGACTTTATTGACATTGCACTTTAGGTCCATGTTAGCTGAAGCTCTTGATAGCAAGTAATAGCAAACAAATCTCAACTAGAAGTAATAATAAACAAGTGGTCTGGTTGGGGTTTTTGTGGTTTTTCTTTTTAATAAAAAAGAGAGAGTAGGGATTCTTCTAGTAGAAAGTGAGTAATTCTTAGATCCAGGAATATAAACACCACCATAAAGACTCATCTCACTTTTTCTACTTGTGACTGTGTTTAGGACACTGTAGGTACTTAACACAATTTTGCTGAGTGAAGGAATAGAAGCATACTGTAACAAAACTTCATTTTCCTGAAAATTGCAGAATTTTTTGAAAATCTGACTAATTTTCCTGGCTGAGACAAATAATGTAAAAGAGAAACTTTTTTAGCATTTACAAATGTGTCTGTATTCAGTCTGTTCTCCCCACCCCTTTCTTGCTTTCATCGCCAGTGATGGGCATGAATACACATGTGATAGCAATTGAGGACAAGGGTTCAGAAATGCTCTCTATTATACTCGTAGGTGGGTATGTGGAGGCTACAAACGTGACTAAAGAAACCCCTTTTGGGCCAACTTCCACCACAGAGAAGATATATGATGATGTGGAGTGCTCTGAGAGAGAGAGGCAAGTACATCCCGCCCTTTGGCAAACTAACAGTGAGACTTTAAGATACAATTCAGGAGGTTGATAAGTCTTTGTATCTTCACAGAACCAAGTCGTTCCATTCTGATTCATTTACTTCAGATAGTGGTAAGTAGAGGACGTTTCCCTTTTCCAATTCCAGTGGACTGAATTCCAGTGACTGAATGCCTTTAAGACTGATTAGTGATAGGTGTAGTTATTAAGGCTAGTTGTTGTTGTTAGATGCCATAAGTCAACTACAACTCATATTTGTCCTTAAGAACAACAGACCTAAACTTCACCCTCTCTGGCACGAGCCTCATGATCTCTGATATGCTCCAGTACATTGAATCCATCTTGTTGAGGGTCTTCCTCTCTCTGATCTTCCACTTTGCCCAGAAAGATGTTCTTTCTCAAGAACTGATAAGCTCTCTTTTATTTAAAATTTTAATAAATGTCATTGTCAGTTAGGTGCCATTGTCTTGACTACAATTAGAGCAACCTATAGAACGTTAGCTTTATTCTACACTATGCTCATGATCTCCACTATGTTTGAAGGCTCTGTTACATTCACCATATCAATCTTTATCATTGAGGGTCTTTCTCTTTTTTGCTGACCTTTTACCTTTCCCAGCATGACATATTTTTTTTAAGGGCCAGTCGCTCCTTATAAGATGCTCTAAGTATGTGAGAAAAAATTTCACTATCCTTGCCTCTAAAGAGCACCCTAGTTGCACCTCTTCCAAATCAAATGTATTTGTCCTTTTGACAACCCACAGTATATTAAAGTCTTCACTAATACCACAATTCAAATACATCAGTTATTCTTCAGTCTTCATTAGTCACTGTCAAGCTTTCAGATGCATAAGAAGCAACTGACTATGACTTCGTTCAAGTTCACCTTACTCTTTAAAGTGGCATCCTTGCTGTTTGGGACTTTAAAGGTCCTCCACAACAGATTTTCTCAATATAACACATCTTTTAATTTCCTTTTTTAAACTGATGCTACAGGGGATGTTGATTGTGGAAGTAATATGAAATCATTGACAGCTTTAATTTTTTCCCCCTACATCATGATGTTGCCCATCAGTCCAGTGTTGAGGATTTTTGCTTTCCTGATGTTGAGATATAATCTATATCAAAGGCTGAAATCTTTGAACTTCTGCCGCAAGTGATTCAAGTCTTCTTCATTTTCTACAAGCAAAGTAGAATTATCTGCTGTCTTCTTAGCTTAAATGTTGGCGGGTTTTTTTAGCCCTTGGAGTTTGCTGCCTCTGATTGACAGCTACCTTAACTGTAGACACATGGTCTTGAAAACAGCTTAGTCTTACAAGTCGTCAACAGATGTGGTACTAGGATAAGAGAAAGAGTGCTTCTGACATTAGGTAGCAAGACTTGAGAGGAGCAAGATTTGTGGCATCAAGGCTTAAGAGGGCCTCAAGCAAGAAAGATCCTGATGTGAGAGAGACCCTGGTGGTGGAAATACTGTGGCTTTGCTGTGAAGAAACAGTGGCAAGGTGTCACGAGAGGCTTCTTGCATTTGTGCTGACCAACAGTTAAAGGTTTCTTTGTTCTTGTTGCATGTTTGGAGGAGATTCTGACTATAACTGCTCTGAGGCAAATGTTTCTGGTTAATTTGGGTATAACTACTCTGAGGTAAACCTTTCTGGATGATTTGGTTTGGCTGCTGAACTGAAACTGGAGCCTGGACTTATTGAGGAACTGGTAGGCTAAAGCTTGGACTTGTATTATGAGATATTCTTTGCTTCCCCTACTCTCCAAATTCCTTCCCTAATAGACCTCATTTTTAGTATCATAACTGTGTCTGTGAGTCAGCAAGGAATACACAACCTTTTTGCTATTTTGTGACTCTAGAGGCACCATGGGCTTTGGGCTCTTTATCTGCTTTCTGCTCTGGAACAGTAAATGAGGGGCTATGCTATTCTTATGCCCTCTGGCCTGTTCAGAGAGGTGGTCGTGGCTTTATGTCCCCCATGTACTGTATTCTCCTCTTTATACCTTTGGTGTCAGAAGTGGGATTTTCTACAAAGGTCCAGACTCTCTGTAATATGCATCTTTGCAGAAAAAGGAGTAAGCAAAAGAATAAAAACCTTTGGACTCTAGGTAGAGTAAGGAATATCCTTGGGAAAATATAGGTCTTATGTTGCAGACAGTTACTGAAAGCAAAATTTACTAATAGGATATGAAATGAGTGGACACAGAGGTGCAGCAGCAATGCAGAGTTGGGCTAAAATAGTCCATATTCCTCTTACCTCCTCTGAAGCATAAAACCCCAATAAAGATAGCTCTGCTTGCCAGCAAGAGAGAAAGAGATTGCAGAAGGCTATGGGACAAATTCTCAGGGAAGAAGGCCTGGCACATTGTTGTCAAGTTGATTATTTCAGACCAGGGGCACCAGGTGGCTTCAAATGGATCCTCACAGGAATAGATACTTATTCTGGACTGGGATTTGCATACTTTGTAACAGATGTAAATGCCAAAATACTATTAACAAATTGGAACAAAAGATACTGTACCAGTTTGAGACCCCAAGTTATGTTTCCTAAGACCAAGGAACACACTTTACAGCTGAAGCAGCAATATAAAGAAAGCACTCTTCACACCAGAGAGTGTATGAAAACACCAACACAGGAAAAACCCAGCCTGCATACCTACAGTCATGTGAATCATTCCCCTGAGGGATCTGAGTCCCTGGAGGACCTTCTAGCAAATCTTTGAACCCACCAGATATAGAGAAATTGAGGAACTGAGCCACATGTGGAGCTGTGAATGAAAGTATGGACATAAAAACCTGGTCAAGCATTTGGGAGTACAGTAACCTAAGGCTTCTCATAAATCGCTTGTGATTAATCTTAGCAGGACAAATTATAAAAATGCTGCATAATGTAAATTGTTGAGGAGTCTTGTTCCAATCTTGATGCCACATTCTTCTTCATATTATCCAGCTTTTTCAAGTATTTGTTTAGTGTACAGATTGAATAGATAAGGAGACATGATCCAACCCCAGTGCACACCTTTCCTGATTTCCTAACCTAGGCTCCTCTAAGGCCAGCAGAAACTCTACCCCAGGCAGATGATGCCTCACCCCTAGATGCATCCTAGACCAGAAAAGGTGCTACCCATGACCTCACTCACATATGGGGACCTCAGTCACTATTCAACAAGCAGAAACTTTGACCTGACTGGGCACCCCAACTCAAATCTTCTGTTTAACTGGCAGATAAAACAGTCCTGGGCCAGTTATTTTCTTTTTTCTATTTCTCATACTTTTGTCTGTTAGTTTTCTGTGTTGGGCTGACTTGTGTGTTGCTGTGATACTGGAAGCCAAGCCATCAGTATTTCAAATACCAGCATGATCACTCGTGGTGGACAGCTTTCAGCAGAACTTCTAGATTAAGACAGGCCAAGAAGTAAGACTGGCCTCATAGAAATGTAGATCTCTTTTCATAGCACTTGTTGTTTTTGTATACCCTTATTGAAAACTCTGGATGAGATAATGGATTGATACAGTAACTGAGGCAATTGGAATTAGTTCGTCAGGATTATTAAAACCAGCTCAGGACAAGACAGGGTTCAGAGCTGCAGTGCATAGGGTCGCTATGGGTCGCAAATGACTCGATGGCACATAACAGCGTTCTTAAGCTGACTACTTCCACAGACTTTCATAGGCACAATGCTAAGCACATGATAGATTTTTTTTTATTTCACTGAATGAATTAATATAAAAGTAGAAGAGGGCAAGCCAAATGCTATTCTACTTCACTCACTCATCGCAGTTGAATTGGAATGGACTCATAACGGACCCATTAGTGGGTTTTCCAAGTCTCTAAATCATGGGAGGAGATTGTCCATCTTTCTCCTGTGGAGATACTGGCAGATTTGAACTACCAGAGAGGCACGTCTTTTGGGTTAGCAGTAGTCTCTAGAGTGCTCTGCTATTCTGCCGTGCCCCAGAATTTTATATGGCTAAGTAACTTCAGAGGTCATAAATACCAGTGCCCTCATTTTCAAAAGAGAAGCTTAGGCATAGAGAGCACAGAATTCTAGGCTTACAGCATGTTAGTGCCAAATTTTGAACCTAAAATCCAAGTTACTCCAACATTCATCCCTTTAATTGTTGTCAGAGTAGATGGAGAAAATAATCTGTGTATATTAAGTGTATGTAGACCAGGCTGAAACCATGCTGTAAAGAAATAGACTATTCAAAATACATCTGGATGCCCATTTTTTTTTCCTTTTCTTTCCTCTTAAATTTTATTTTTTATTGATATTTTAATGAAAGTTTACAGAAAACGTGGATTCCTATTCATTCATTATTGTACACTTTCCTCCCTAACCTCCTCCCCCCAGTTAGTTTTTCTCTTTGAAAATATTCTTTCATTGTAGCATCATTTCCTCTTTGCTATGCAGCTCTTATTCTGGACTGCTGTCATGCAAATGACACCTAATCATATATTCCTTTCAAACAGTTCTTTTCCTCATCTCTTTCAATGCAGTGTTTTTTATTAATCCCCACTTTTCTTAGTTTCCCCTAACCCCCAAGTCAGTCCTGTTTTATAACTCTGATGCCCATTTTTCCCTCAGCATAGGAAGTAATTAAGAAAGAAGGGAATTGTTGATCTCTTCCTGCTTATGACAATGCACTTAAATTTCAATAAAAATGTGTTAACAAGTGAAAAGGTCAAAGTACTTAGCATCTGGTAAGTATCCAGTATTTCTGTTGATGTTGTTAAATATGAATAAAAACTATTGTCAGCATCTGACAATGAGCTATTTCTTTTAATTTCAGAAGAAGACAATCAAGAACTATATGAAGATGTCTATAGAATGAAAAGCAACTACTCAAAGTTAGAGTAAGTTTCCTTATTGCTTTTATAGGCTGATTGTCTTTCTTACTAGTCTAGGACAACTAGAGTAGGAAACAGCCTGTCCCCACGTCCCCTCCATCCTTTATGCAGGATTTGAATGAAGTGTGGTAATGAGCTTGTATAATACTACATTGTGATCAATAGTATACTTGTAATGTTCTACAACCATACGCAATAAATTTTTAGTCTCATTGCTTTTTCTTTTGAGAACATTTCCATTACCCAGAGAAGAGAGCATTGAGATTGTGTTAGGAAACAAATGAGAAAGGAGAAGTAAAGATACTAATAAAACTTGCCTCAGTTTTATAGATGCTTCTCCGGGTACAAGCTAATTTTCACAAGTTAACTTGCAAGTTAATAAAACTGGCTGTGGGATTTAGATTCAATTTAATATCTAGTAATTCAATGTTCAGAGCCCTAGTGACATAATGTTAAATGTTGAACTGCTAACTGAAACATCAGTGGTTCAAACCCATAAGTCACTTTGTGGGAGAAAAATGGAGCAATCTGTTCCCAGAAACCTATGGGTAGTTCTACTCTGACCCGTAGGTTTGATGTGAGTTGCAGTCAACTTAACGGCCATGGGTAGATGAATTCAGTGTTACCAAAAATTTTGTGTTTTCTCAAAAGTAATTCATTCATCTCTTTATTAAGGACACATTATAAAAAGGGAAACAACAATTGAAAAAAATGGAAAATATAAGGGTTGGTATGAAATATAGGCTTGGTAGTGGCAAGGAGCTGCAACTACAATCCCAGAGGCGCACGGTTCGAATCCACCAGATGCTCTGAGGGGGAAGGAGGAACAATCTCCTCCTGTACCAGTCAGATCTGATTTGATGGTACACTTAATAATAATAATAATAAAAATAATAAATTTAAAAACAAACAAAAACCAGGCATATCTCAAGAATATAGCTTTTACCCTGTACAAATATCCTAT